TCTTTCATCTCCACATCCTGGGGGGCCGGGGGCGCCGGCGGTTCCTGTTCCCCTCCGCCCGGCGGCGGCTTCGCCTTGTCCGCGCCGCGGCGCCGCGCCGAGCCCTCCTGCTTCATGGCACACGGGGTCGCGGCCTAGTCCGGGGACCGAGGCCGGCGCCTCGCGTGAATTCTCGCAACAGAGAGCAGGAACCGAGCCGGGCCTGCACACGAGCGCGGGGTAGCGACGGGCCGCACGATGACGGAGCAGCAGCAAACCCCTTCCCACCGCTGGGCCTGCTGGGAAGCGCCAGGCCGAGTGGGCCGAAGGCCGAGTCCAGAAAGGCGAAAGGAATCAACAGCCGAGGTGCAGGATGGGGGAGGATCTTGGAGGAAGGAGAGGGGAGGAGCCTGTACGGGTTTGCGGGGCGTTCTTTGCCGTATTGGGGTTGATGGTAGGTTCCTCCGGCGTGCATTTCTGTGCATGTCCACGAGAGGTCCCCACAGGCTCCAGTCTGGGTTTCCGCAGACTCAGCGCTTCAACCAGCGTGGAGTAGGCGGGGCCTAGGGGAGCGCAGGGCGTGATGACATCACGAGTTGCCGGGCGGGTCGCTGCCCAGACTCTATTTGTCTCCGCTGAGTCGCCTGCGGGATACGCGCGGCTCACCCTCAACGGCTGCCCGGTGCATCCCGCGCGGGGGAAGAAAAGAAGCTGCGAAAGAGGGATGTGGAACTAGGCTGTTGGGCTTAAAATAAAACCGAACTATGGGATTCAGCTTTCCTTGTCAGATTTTAGCTAGTGCTGAAAAAAAGGCATAAAAATCTCTGCAGCCTGAGAGTGTGGATAGGGGCAGAGTGCATTTGGGTACAATCGCTGCAGTTTAATAAAGTTTAGGGGTCTACGTATGGCCCAGGGCTGGCGCATTGGGGGGCGCCGTGGCCGAGTACAGCTGCAGAATGCAGCCTGCTGGAAGCTGTGCTTCGGACTGCCGGGTATTGTGAGGCCTTAGGAAAGAAGGTAGGAGCCCTTATTGGCAGAGGCTTCAGGGAGTCCTTTCTGGGGCGCCTGTATGCATCCAGACAGACACTGTAGTGAGATAGGGACCAGAATAATAGTGTACCTAAGGGGAGCCTGAGAATCCCCCAGGGGAAGGAAATTGGACCATAAATCCTGTCCACGTATTTTACAAAGGAATCCTCCAGTGATTCTGCAGGAGGACACATGTTCCAACTTCCTAAGACAAAACCAAAACCCCCTCCCCTCTTGGAACTTTTATCTCTTCCATAAATAGAAGTCCTGAGTTTTAGACCAGCTCAGACCCCACAAGACAATCTAGCTCTGTTGTAAGGTCCTAGAGGGCAGAGAATATATTTTGACTATATTTTTTATATTTATGTATATAAAAAATTCTTTAAAAAATTTATTGATTGATTTTAGAGAGGAAAGGAGAGAGAGAAACATTAATTTGTTGTTCCACTTATTTATGCATTCATTGGTTGATTCTTGTATGTGCCCTGACTGGGGACTGAACCGGCAACCTTGGTGTATCAAGACAATGCACTAACAAACTGAGCTACCTGGCCAGGGCTTGTATTGCCCTTTTCATACTATTGCACCAAGTAGCTCCTTGCACCAAACAGCCGCTTCCTAAATGGAAAAATGTATGCTCCAGCTTCAGGGAATGTGCCTTGACCAATTCTTCCCTAACTATCCCCCTTCCCCTTCCGGTTGGGGAATGGATAACAGGGCTTTTGAATCATCCCTGGGATAAACTCATTAAAGCCGCTTCATAACACCATATCTGTAACCGAAGGTGGGCGAGAATGGTAAAAGGAGAAAACAGATGAGCTTTGTTGTTCATCTTTATGAAGTTACCCTTCTGGATAGTTAAGGTGTTAGCTCATCTCTTTATTATGTTTACATCACAAGAGAAAAACAATCACGTCAGCAGATAACTACTCAGTATGTCCTTGAGCAATATGATGAGACCTTAGAAGATGCCCCAGAATGGCGGAGGATGGCTTAACACCAAGTCTTTGGCAGTTGGTCATGAATTCTTGGTGAGTGAAGGGGTGGCTAAGAAGGGGAAGAGTCTGACTCCTGTGGCCAAAAACCTTGGAGAAATTATTCCACCCATAAAGCTATTTTAAAAGAGATTGGTAAAAGATATTAAAACAAAGCTTTAGGCAGAGGAGGATGGTATAAACCTAGCAGTTTTATGAGATTGCAATATCCGTATTAGCAGGTCCATGTGCCAAGCCTACCCATACCACTTCCTCCCACAACCACCCTGAACTGAGAGCAGAAGAGGAAAAGGTGAAATCAGAAGGTAATAGCACAATTTCTTTTAAAAAGTTTTGAGTCAGTCTTATTCTTGAGTATCTTATTTCCCCCCAAAAGACTTATCTGTATTTTAAAAATATTTATTTATTTATTTATTTTTAGAGAGAGAGAGAGAAAAACATCGATTTGTTGTTCCATTTATTTATTCATTCATTGGTTGATTTTTGTGTGTGCCCTGACTGGGGATCAAACTTGAAACCTTGGCATATTGTGACGATTCTCTGACCAACTGAGCTACCTGGCCAGAACCTATCTGCATTTTTTTATTCAATAAAATTGTAAGTTGTCTTACTCTTGTTTGGGGTTTGTACACTGTATCTCTAGGTCTTTGCCTTTCCCAATCCCTCAACCCAAGTCCAGAGGACTCCAAAGGCTCCCCTTCGAAGACAAGCTGCGTTGACGATATTCTCACTTTAGAATCTAAATTCCACATTCTGTACCTTCATAGTTCTTCTCTGAGTATTTTGCAGCTGGCCCGGGGACAGTATAATAGTATTCATGTATATATGAGCTGTATGTGGTATGATAATGTCTATTTTTTTTTCTGTCACAAGTTAAGGATTTCCTTATGACAGATTCTTTAAAGAAAAACACCAAAAGACATTTCGTCCAAGTGAAATATTTCCCATTAATTCCAGTAAAGCTTGATTTTTAAAAGCACAAGAGGGAGGGATTGGGATAGGAAATTAATTAATTTTGGTTTTGCTGAAATGGTACATAATTTTAAAAATTTGAGTGTTTCTACTTTCAGAGAACTTAAGCATCAGCAGATGGGCTTAGCGGGTTGCAGAGCTGCAGGGGCAGGGGGAGATATAGAGTTGGACAAGTGGAAATTGGTTATCTTGGGGGATCAGCTAGGGTTTCCATCATCCTCAGCTCGGTGGCTCTGAAATGCCCTTGGATGTTAAGGACACAGCACAATGAGGTAGGCAAGGCATTAGGGAAGCAGGAAGCAGATGGAAAAGGCAAGTTAGGAGGCCTTGGTCAGCAGCTGCAGGAAGGAGAGGCCAGCGTAAAGGGCACAGAGGTGGGGGAGGGTGTCTGGATCCCACGTGTACTGGGGGCCTGATCTCTGCACCTCCAGGCCGCTCAGCCCCACTAGGGCCTCTGTGAGGGTCAGTTCCTCTTCCCCAAGGGAGGAGAGCAGGTCAGGTTGCAGATGGAAAACACCCTCTTTATCCTGTAGAAAATTCTGTTCCATTGTGCTCTCCACCTGGAAGGAACCAAAATAGAGTGAAAAAAAAAACTGGAAACCTCTTTTCCTTTCTCCTAACTCATAAAAACTACAAAGTTGCCTACCTTTTTCTTATTATTACTCCTTGCATTACATTATCATTATATTACAACTCCATCTGGGTTTTGTTTTTTTTACACTGATTTTAGAAAGGAAAGTAAGAGAGAGAGAGAGAGAGAGAAACATAGATGTGAGAGAAAAACATCAATCAGTGTGCCCTGACCAGGGATCAAACCCACCACCTTTTGGTGTACGGAATGATGCTCCAACCAACAGAACCGCACCATCCAGGGCCCATCTGGGCCTTTTAACAACTCTGTACAGTGGGCAGCGCATTTCTTTTTTAGCCCCATTTTACAGAGGAGTGAATTGAGACTCAGATATTAGAAGATTTTCTCACAGCACTTGGCTAGGGCTGAGCAAAACCAGAGTTTTCTGTCTTTTCTCCCAAAATCAGGTTGAAAAACCCAGAAATGTACTCTTCTATCTCTAGTCGTGAAATAGCAAAAAGGAAGAAACATGGAGAGAAATAAGACGTGAGCATGAGCTCCTGGGAAAAAACAGAGGCCCTCTAGGGTGACAGCATCAGGCTAACTTTGTATCTTGTCACTGGTTCATAGCTGACTCCCTCCCAGACTCCCCCAGGTATCTGCTGTTTATTCTTACAAGCTTTAGTTGCACAGGTAGGATCTTTTTCTCCATGGATTTTATCAGCAGCTTCTGTTGGGCTTCACTTAATTCTGGAGAAAAAAGCAGAGAAAGAGATGTGCTTTGTTGGTGCAAAGGGGACTACAGACTCCAAATGGGTACACTTCCAGCCTTCCAGCATTAATGAATTCACCCATTCACTCATGACTGAATGCCTGCTCTGAGGCAGGCACTTTTGTTGGGTATGTTAGGTAAAAATGTATTCCCCTCACCCAAGGAACTTGCAGTCTAGAGGAGAAAACAAAGGAACGTGAAACACAGTACGCAGTGTTAAGGGAGCCATAGCTGAGGGGTCTACTTGGTCTTGCCATTTGACGGGGGACTTCTTAAGAGAACAAACATCTCAGCTTATGCCTGAAGGACCAGGGAGTTCTTATAAGTAGGGGAATGTTTCATGCAGAGCAAAGAGGATTCAGAGGCAAGATCAGAAGATGTTGCCCTCTGAAATTAAAGCTCACAAATATCGATAAAAAAGTGATGAGTTTAGCTATATGTAGAAGTTTTAAGTAAAAGGTCAATAAAACCAGGGTTATCTCAACCTCTATTAGCAAGACTAGGCTATCTTCTCAGACTATCCAGGGTGACCAAGTGAATCTTTAGGAACGAAACCAATTTTTTTTTTTTTTTTTACTATATCTTTATTGATTTCAGAGAGAGGATGTGAGAGGGAGAGAGAGGTAGAAACATCAATGATGAGAAAGTCGTCATTGATCAGCTGCCTCCTGCACTCCCCCTGCTGGGGACCAAGCCTGCAACCTGGGCATGTGCCCTGACCAGGAATCAAACCTCGATCTCCTGGATCCTAGGTTAATGCTCAACCACTGAGCCATGCTGGCCGGGTGAAACCAATATTTTTAAATGTAGATATAGCCCCATTGGCATGGCTCAGTGGTTGTTTCTATCTTTCTCTCTTCCTCTCTCTGAAATCAATAAAGACATATTTTAAAAAAATAAAAATAAAAATAAAATAAAATAAAATGTAGATATAAACTACAGTGGCGCCTTGGTTTTTGAACAGCTCCGTTGAGGAACATTTTGGTTTATGAACGCTGTAAACCTGGGAGTAAATGCTTCGGTTCTCAAACACGCCTCGGAAGTGGAACATGCCACGCGGCTTCCGCCGAGGGCGAAATCCCGAGGCCTGGCTGTCGGCTGTGGATCCCTCGGTTTTTTAACGGTTCAGAACCTGAACGGTCTTCCGGAACAGATCACATTCGGAAACCAAGGCACCACTGTACCTAATTGTGCTATAATTTGCCCGCATTCATTCACTGACTTATTCATTCGAACATTTGAGAATTCACTCAGTGATTCATTCCTATCACCGAAAGGGCATATAAATGAAGACCTCACTCCTTACTTACCTGTTAGGGCTCCAAGGAAATAGAGGACAGCGCCCATAACCTCCTTTGATATGAGGACATCTTTGGGGAGTGCCTCCAGTGTCACTTCATGTCCTTTGTCTAGGGCCCCTTCAAGCTGTGGGGAGAGGTGGGTGACTATTTAAGATAACACGAGTAAGGGGCCCAGCATGGTGTCTGGCACATAACCCCTTGAAATGTGTAAACTTTCTCCCATTTCCTTATTTCTTTTTTAAGGTATCAAGTGCTGAAAATATTGGACTCCTGGGTTCCTGAGCCTCGCATTCTGGAAAGGAAAGTTCCAGCTCCCCTCCAAGAGAGGGCCCTGCTGGCCTGCTACCTCCCTCTGTCCATCGGGAAGGAGCGTGGGCCTTGGGGGAATCTGCACTGTTTGCCCTTCTCCAGAGGGACAAGGGAGTAGCTGTGGTCTGGCAGCCTGGGGGGCACTTGGCCAGCCTTGGGGAAGGCATCTGCTGTCGAGTCCCCTGGCCATTGACCACCTTCTGCCATGTCAGATCCCCCACCAGCTGCACCTGCACCCAAAACCTCCCTTCTCCCACACCCGCCCCGCTTCCACGGGGACCTCACCGTGAGCTCCAGGTCTTGTAGCTCCCCTTTCTTTCCCAGAAGTTTGCTGAGGGAGGTGAGCAGGGAGCTTTGTCCCACACGGCTCAGTGTCTCCAATGCTCGGGTCTCTCGTTGGATCTCTTCTTTTAGTGTCTCGAAGTCCTCGTGCATCTCCCCTATGGGGACAGTAAATGTGGCAAACAAATGGCTCTCTACCTGGCACCCTCCCCATTCAGCCAGCATTCTCCCTGCAGGCTCCTTCACACAGCCCTTCTAAGGTCCCCGTGCTCTGCTCCCAGCTTGAGCATGGCCTTTCTTTTCTCTTGACCAAGGAATGCAATTATGAAGTGATCCGTCAGCTCTGACTTGAGGTGTGTGTGGGGGGGCAGTTAGGGGCGAGAAGAGGGCCAGGATCCACGTTACCATCGAAGCCAGCACTGCATCCTCTCTGAGCTCCCAGCCCCATCATGGGTCAGCAGACAGGTGACTTCCCCTTTTCTAAGACTGGCTAAGAGCTGAGAAGGGAGGTCTATTTCCCCTTCTCATGAGTTAGCTGACAAAGACGAATGACTCTGGCGCCAGAGTGAAGGCCTGGATGGGACTGCTTCGGAGATCCGTGGGTCTATACCCAGGGATGTGGGTGGATCAGAGGCGGCTTGAACCCTGGCCTGACCCTCTAGGGACCTGGCATCTTAGAAATATGTCCAGCCTGCTTTGGAGAGAGTGGCTTCCTGGCAGCGCACCAGTGCCTAGGACCTGGGACTCAGCATTTGTCTCCCCCTCCTCCACCCCAGTGCTTTTCCACTGCTTCCATGGCAAAGTCTTGGGAGAAACTCACAAAGTTCCTTACCAGCATCAGCTCCCTGGATGACTGAGGGGGGAAAAAAACAATGATAAGAATGTAATCCTCCCAAACAGTAGCCATACCCAGGTGATGAGACATTAATACCCAGCCAGCTTAAGGATACTCTTGCCCCATTCATGGGAGGCAGGAATGGGTCAGGAGAAAAGCTAATGCAATGGGAAAAGGGCCCCTGGATTGAGCTGTCAACACTGTGAGTCAGCTGTTCCCACCCCTGGTGCTGGGCAGTGGAGCTGCAGATGTGCGTGTCACAGGTTATAGCTACTAAGGCCCTCGAGGACAGAGGTCTGAGGCATCAGGCCACCTGGGCATCTTGTCCAGAGACTTTCTCTTTCCACTGCTTTTCCCTAAGCTATTGGAATCTCTGCCACGTTTCAGGGACAATTGTTTGCTGAGACCCTTTGGGAACATGGCAGAAGGGAAGAAAAAAGACCTGAAATTTTTCCCTAGCCGGTTTGGCTCAGTGATTAGAGCGTCGGCCCATTGAGTGAACGGTATGGGGTTCGATTCTAGCCCAGGGCACGTACCTCGGTTGCAGGGCCCTGGTTGGGGTGTGAGCGGGAGGCAACCAATCACTGTGTCTCTCTCACATAGATTTTTTTTTCTCTCTCTCTCTCCCTTCCACTCTCTCTGAAAAGCAATGGAAAAAATATCCGCAGGTGAGGATTAAAAAATAAAAAATAAAAAACTGGAGTTTTAAAGTTACAGTGAAAGGACAGGAAACACTTACGGAGGAACTTCTCTTCTGGCTTTCCTGAAGACAGAAACAATGCACATATGTCAGCATGAAACCTATTCGTGCCTTTTTATCTAGAGCAGTAGTCAAGGCAGCTTTATCAGTGATCATTATAAAAACACATGGAGACTATGTTAGCTCATCTGCCCCCACAATCTGGGAACACACACTGCCTCCATGTCTTATTTCTGCTTCCAATTGTGCCTTTCGGTTTCTCTGTCTCTCTTGGGTGGTATTCATATGCCTTTGTCTGTCTTTCCTAAAGTTGAGGACAGGTATTTTTAGAGACTTAGAAAACAAAACCAGGGGCTCCTGGTGGGCATTAGGTATGTATGTGCTATTAGAGGGCGCAGGACTGTAGCAGATAACGTCAGGGGTAGGGCAGAAGATGGGAGCCAGGAAGCAATGTCACTTACCTCCGGGCGGGAAGGTTTGCATGTTATCATTGCAGATATGTGGGATTTCTGTAAGGGAGCAAGAGAGGAAAGAGCAGGACCTTAATATAGCTCCCCCACCTTTCTTTCTCTAGTCTCAAGTCTATGGGCTCTGCTAAGGGCTGGGACCCTGCCCTCAAATGCCTCCCTCTCTATTCCTAGAAGTAGTCCTTTCTTCCTCTGTAAATCCTTTCCTGTGATAACAGTATTTTCTCTCTCGCATTCGAGTACTGGTGTCTGTGTCTGTTTCCTCCATTGCCCACAGACTTCTTGAAGCAGAGGCTGATTGTTCTCTGTGCTCCCTTCCCCCAGCTAACACAGTGCCTAGCACACAGGAGACGCTCAGAACCAGGAGTCCCTTCACTGTCTCTCCAGAGCAACCCCTGCTGTTCTGTTCCCTGCAGTTGGACCACAATACAACACACTCCTTCACTAATTCCCTGACATTGCCACAAGAGGGGACCTTATTATTGGTGCAGGTAATTCTTATCTTGAGGGGAGAACATGCTGGTGTCTGCTCACCCCACTCATCTTCGCCTTTGACTATCAGCTGTCTCACTCGAAAGGCCAGGATGCAGCCTTTGGGGATGGTTACAGCCTCCTTGTGGTTTATGGATCCCTAGGATTAAACAGTGAAGATTTGTGAATCTGCAGAGATCCTAAGTATGAGACGTTGGAAATGGGGGGTGAGGGTGCAAGTGAAGGGCCAGGCCTGGTTGCCTTTCCACCTGGTCCAGACTCTATGGAGTGAGCTCCAAAGCTCTTCTGCTCATTTCCACTGATGGTCCCTCTAATGATCTGTATCTCTCTTCCTGGTTCAGACACATGAAGGAACTGGGCCGACCTGCTCCATCACCTGCCTGGGCATCCTTGTCCCACCTTAGTGCTTCCATCCAGGCCCTGGTTCCTTCTTCCTCTTTGCCATCTGTCCCTTGCTCACCTCCTTCAAGAAAACTTCCATGACTAACTCCTACTCCTAGTTCCAACTCATCCTTTGAATATTTATACAAAACAGGTAGAAGTATGTAGAGCATTACTTATTTACATGGGATTTTCCAAGCTTGTGTTCTCTGGGCTTTAACCTATATGTCTCCTCCATGAGACTGAGAACTCTCTGAGAGTAAGGATGGCTCTCCTGTAGATTGGGAGCACCATGAGGGAATACCCATGACTGTGAGTTTCCCTTTCTCTGACTGTTCCCTGTGGCACATGGCACAGGGATCTGCCACACTGGGTGCCATTGACCGCAGACAGGGTTTGTGTCTGGCCAGCAGGGGACTGGATCTTGAAGAGCTGGGAGGAAGAGTGGATCTTTTATAGTATCCTGGGTGGGCGCTGATGGGACAAAGTCAATGTAGCCTCTGTGGAGAGGCTGAATGTGAGCGTGTGTGTGTGTGTGTTTGAACCAAACCTGTAGCCCCAAAGGGGCGAAGAATGGGAGAGAGAAGACACCCTCTGCCTTGCCGGCTCTCTCCAGAGTGACCTCCTGCACGGTCTCCACCACCTCCATCACCACATACAGGTTCTCCCCTCGCTCTCGCATCTCCTTCAGGAATGGGTGCTCTGCTGCCAGCTTCCTGTTCAGGAGAAACATGAGGGAATCACCCAGAACTTCTCCCTTCCTGGGAGTCAGAATGACCTCCCACTCACCAAACTCAAACCCTCTCTAACTCTGCTCAACATTGGACCCTGCTGTCCAAACCCTCCGTGGGATGCTGTCTTCTGGCTTCTGATCACCCTGTGCCACTTGGTTCTGCTCCTGCCTTTCTGGCCTCTCAATCCTGTCAATTCTGCCTGTGTCTCATTCTCTTGTTTAATTGGTTTCCCTAAAATTTTATGCTCTCCAAGATTCTGTTCTCAGTCCTCTGCTGTCTGAATTCCCTCCAACAGCTTCTCCCTATTCCTATAATTTTAATTTTTATGTGGCTGACCACCACATATGTGTCTGTCCCTTGACTTCTCTCCTGAATTCCAGACTCTCATTTCCAAATACCTTTAAAATTTTTAAAAATTGAGAACTCATTGACACATAACATTGTATTAGTTTTAGGTGTATGATATAATGATTTGATATATGTATATATTGAGAAGTGATTACCACAATGAGTTTAGTTAACATCCGTCACCATACATAATTACAAATATCTTTTTTTTCTTGTGATGAGAATTTTTAAGATCCAGTCTCTTAGCAATTTTCAAATATAGAGTACAGCGTGCTTATCTATAGTCCCTCCAAGTACCTATTGAATACTCTCACCTGTTGTCTCAGTGGAGAGACAAACTCAAAACATCCAAAAGGAACTCACAATCTTTCTTGCCAAATATTCTACTAAACTTGGTCTTTCTATTTTGTCATCACTTGGGTCAAATATCAAAGTCATCTTGGTTTTTTTATTCTTCTATATTTAATTTATTTATTTATTTTAATAAAAATTATATATATTTAAGATGTACAACATATTTTGGTTAGATATACATAGAAAAATGATTACTATAGTCAAGCTATCCATCTCACAGTTACCATTTTTGTGTGTGTAGTGAGAGCACCTGCAATCTACTCTTAGCAAATTTCCAGGATACAATATAGAATTATTAACTATAGTCCTCATGCTGTACATTAGATCTCTGTGAGAGATCTTTGACAAGACCCATTCCCTTACCCTGTAGTCAGCTGCCAGGTCCAGTCCATTCTGCTGCACCAGAGGCCTTGCATCCATTCTTCCCTCATTGTTCTGACTGCGTCTCCCAGCTCAGTTCCTCATTTTACATCTCTGATGGGCAGTGGAACAGTCTCGCCCTCTCTGTCTGTTTCAAACCCCTGTCCCTTGTGCTCTAACTGACACACTTCCTCCATCTGGCCAGACTGATCATGACATACATCAGAGCATTGTCAGGGTCCCTCTGGTGCCTATAGCCTAGTTGCATCTCTTTGACCAGGCACCTGGGTCTCGCATGATCTGGGCCCACCTTACGTCTCCCACTGCTCCACTCATACCTCTTCTGCTCCTGCCAAACTGGCTAGTCATGGTCCCTAAAGGTTTTGAGATTTCTTACCCGTGCGCCTTAGTAATGCCCTTCTTCTGGCCCTGGATGCCCAATTTATGCTTATCTTTCAAGGTCTAGATCATGGGCTATGTCCTCTGTGAAGTCTGTCCTCATTTCCTCAGCCAAAAGTCTCCCTGACCTGCCATAAAACTCAGACAAACCCCTCCTATAGCACTCATCCGTTTTTGCCTTGGATTCTAGTTACTGTCGCACACTTTTCATACATTCCTAGATCTCAAGGTTCTTGGATCAAGATGTTCTAGTGCACTCTAGCACCTAGCAGCGTGCTTTGCACTCAGTAAAGCTATATAAATTTTACTGGATGACTTTCCAAGCACCCCAGTCCATCCTTCCTGCCTCTCCAGCCCCCACCTGCTTCTTTCAACCACTACTTAACTACTTAAAAGTCAGTTCCTCTGTCAAACCAAACATCTGAGGTCCCCAATATTGGCATGGCATCTGCCACACCCCTTGTGCTCTTGGGGTAGCAATCCCAAGGGCTGCCTCATGTGTGTATGGGGCCAGGCTTGAGGCTTCATTTATGGAAGCAGAATGCTGTGCTCAAGCTGCAGTGGGGAGCAGTTTAGACTCTTTTCCTTTATAGTGTATTTCATGGAGTCTTAAGGTAGGAAGGAACCCTTGAGATTTTCATCCAACCCTATCATTTTTCAGGAAACAAAACTGAGGTCCCAAGAGGAGAAGTGACTTTTCCAAGGTCACAAAGCAAGTTCATGTGAACACACTCATCCTCATATGTGTGTGACAGGTGGGGAGGTGGTATCAGAGGTAGTGGAAGGACACAGGGGAGTGGTTAGAAAATGGCCTGGAGGCACCTGTAGGCAAGAAGCGTCATCTTGAAGAGCTCCCCAGTGGTGACCTTTAACTCTGTGATCAAGACACCCTTTCCATGCAACACCCTCCCCCATCCTGGTAGACCCCCGGCGCTGCCAACTCTCACCTCTCCTGATGCAAGGTCTCCAGGGCCTTGGGAGCCACACTGAGTGTCTGGACCTCCAGGGTGCTGCTCCGAGACAGCCCTGCAGCCCCGCTCACTTTGACCGTCTTTGGCACATCCACCTGTCCCTCCACTCGGGCATCCAGCATATTCTTAAAGGCAAAGTTCCCAGAGTCTGTTGGATCTGCAGGAAGGAGAAGACAAAAGGGGCTGGGCTGAGAGGCATCCCTCTGTCTTCCCCCACCTCCTGTGAGAACTTTGGATTAGATGACACCACATCTGGGCAGAGGAGCTTCAGGGTTCTCCTCATAGGCCGATGCCTGCGCCCATCCCTCAGTAACCAACCCCAAGCCGAGGCTGACCTGAGGGTGAGCTGCCAGGTTCCAGCACATCCAGGAGGCTGTAGTCGGTGTGCACGTACCGGGCGCCCCAGAAGAGCGTGCTCTTTCTCTTCCTCAGCACCAGGCAGAAGGGGTGGAAGCGCTTGAAGTCTATGAGGCTGTCAAGGGGCGTAAGGTCCCCTCGAGGGTTTAGCTGTCGGGTCAGGGCCCGGGTGACATTTTCAAACATGGTCATTGTCTCTGTGGGGGAAGGGAGACAGGAGAGTGACAAGTTGGGAGACCCGGACATGGCAAGGCCCTTGCAGAGAGAGATCATCCTTAGGATGCCTAGCTTCTCAGAATGTCTAAGTTGAAAGGAACCCAAGGATTCTTCATTTTATGATGTGGAAATGAGGCCTCCAGAGCTGAGACAACTTGCCCAAAGCCACAAGGCTGGCTAGAGAAGCCAGCCAGCCCTGCCCTTTCTTTGTCAAGGGCTCTTTTCTCACTCCACACGCATTTTCTTCACAGACTTGGAGCCTGGCTGGAGCGTTTCGTTAGTGATGGAAGGAAAGCTTCTCTCACAGGGCTTCCGCATCTTCCTAGAGAACTGTGACAACCAGGACTAGGGACGCCAGGGGAGGGAGGCAGCCACCACTGGTGCCAAGAGCCTGAGATGGTAGTTGCCCTGTTTGGGGGGTTGAGGTCGCTTCCCTGCACCCGTACTTCCCTTGTGCCCTCCTCCTGGCTCCTGGGTGTGGGTGGACCCACTGCCGTCCAGGTCTTTCCCAGCAGATTCAGGCTTTTCACTGCTCTTTGCCTTTGTTCCCTCCCTGCTAACGATACCTCCCCTCCAATCCAAAGAATCCTTAGTTACCTTTTAAAGCTCAATTCATGTCACCTCCTCTGTGATCACTTCCCTCACCCTTTCAGACAGCTAGTGACTCCACCTCATATGCCCAAGTCAGGTGTCTTTCTGAAACACCTGCAACTTCATGCTGTTATCATCGGTTCACCTGACTCTCTCACCTACTAGGCTGTGACCTCCCAGAGGGAAGGAAATGGCTCTTAGTCATCCCTGTAGCATCAGCACCAGGCACAGTGCCTGGAACAGACTTGGAGCTTGGCAAGTGTGTGGAAAGAATGAATGAACAGACGAATGAATGTGGCCCTGGGAGACATACGCTGCGGTGTGAAGGCCCTGAAGAACATGGGGCCTGCAAGAGCCTGAAGGTCACACTCTTGGGTCTCTGTCTTGAGGTTCAAGTCCAGGTGCTCTGGCTGGGTGGCCAGGTGGCAGAGCCACATCATCTCCGTGGGTGGAAGGGGATATACCAGCTGGTCTGGAACTGCCTCCTCTCCCCTGTAGGCTCCTCAGAGAATCAGGGAAGCACTAGGCAGTGCACGCATGTATGGGGCTCTCCTGCCAGTCACATGAGCTTTCCTCATTCCTAGGAGGGCCAAGATGGGACAGGACAAACTCCTGGGGCCAGCCAGACTCACCTGGGAGGGGCTCAGACCACTGCAGTCTCCTTACCAGAGAGGTTCTCACAGAGCCACCTCTCCCTTCACTCTCCAAGGCCAATTGGGCACCTACCCTATTGGGCTCTCGGGGACTCCAAGGCCCTTCTTGACCCACCCATGTTCTTGTTCATCCCTAGAACACCCCCTGCCTTCTCCACTGTCACCGCGCTCTTACCAGGGAGTGGTGCTAGGTCCTGTCCGGCAGCTGGAGCTGGGGTGAGGGCTCAGGACTTGGTCTGTAGGTTGAGATAGTGACTGTCTCTGACCAGGTCAGGCTGCTGCTTTATGCCTCTGTGGACGTAAGGAGGTAGGCCTGCCCCACTGACCCCACCCCCCTGCCCCTCCACTTCCGGGAGAACAGCATCAACCTGTTCCGCATGGGCCCTGCCCCAGGCCCCGGGCCCTGGCCTTCTGAGGGCTGAGGGGGTGGGGAGCTGCCAGGCAGGTGCCAGCGTGGGTTGGGGGACCAAGGGCAAGAGACAGGTGGCAACTGAAGGTTAATTTGATGGGCTGAGAGGAGAGGAAAGGAAGGAAGGCGCCTTTGGGAGAGAAGCAGTGGAAGTTGGTGTGTGTGTGTGTGTGGAGATGAGGAAAGGCATCTTTGTTTTGCTATTGTCATGGTCATCAGGAAGCATCTAGTATTTATGATGAGACCTTGGGGGTGTGGTAAGTGGATAAGAAACCCTGTGTGTTTGCAGATTCCAGCGTAAAGGGGAGCAGCTGAAGAGTGGCCCCAGTGAGCTAGCATGTCACTACCTGACTCCATTTGTTTTAGCTCCATACACATATCCACGGCACTGCTAGAAGCATATGTCTGTGTAGGCAGAGATGGTTTTCTGTTGTTCTGTGTTCAGCATCTCTGTTCCTCACGGAGCACTGCATGTACACATACACACATATATAGGCAGAGGCATATGGAGTTAGTGGAAAACCCCAAATGCATGTCTGCTGTGGGAATGTAGACATCCCACTATAGGTCACTCAGGCCCTGCTCTTACCTTAAGTCCCTGCTGGGAAGGAATTTTAAAGGGGAATTTGCACACATGTGAGGTCTCCAGGTGACAATTCAAGACATTTACAGGCCAGGCTCCTATAGTGGTGGCTATGTTTCCATGTATGTGAGCATGTATAACCTGAATACAACTGAGCATTCACGCTCTCACCTGGAGGTCCTTCTCAGTATCACGCATCAAAAATGAAATGAAACCCTGAAAGCCATGAACAGTAAGTGAGGTCTTTACTGGAGGTTTTCTTGAGAGGATGGTGATAAATGGGGAGATTAGGCCACATCACACTCAATAAAACTCTCTAAAAACTTACTCTACCTCTGTAGCAAAGCCTCATTCAATGTGGCAGCTCCTCCTAAATCTCCCTTCTTTATATCTTAAAACAAAACAAGACCTTGCCCCTGCTGAGTCTCTGGTCCCTGCCCCCTATCTTTTAGCTCACCTCCCTTCCCATCCACCCCAGGCCCTTCTCGTGCAGCTCTCTAATACTTTCTCCTTCCATAACCCTAATCATTACCTTAACCAAACATCCCTCCTCCTTAGGAGAGGCAGAGGTGGGATTTTGAACAAGTGGGAAGATTGTCACTTGTCATTTGGTTCCTTTCACATGTGCACATGTATGCAGAAATGTGTCTTTTGTGTAATATCCTTTCCATCTCTATGTTTTCCTGGATTTTTGCCTCTTCCTCTCTGTATCTCTCTCTCTCTTTTTTTTTTTTAAATGTGTTTTTATTGATTTTAGAGAGAAAGGAAGGGAGAGGAAGAGAGAGNCTGCCTCTTCCTCTCTGTATCTCTCTCTCTTTTTTTTTTTTTTTTAAATGTGTTTTTATTGATTTTAGAGAGAAAGGAAGGGAGAGGAAGAGAGAGAGAGATAAACATTGATTGGCTGCCTCCTGCACACTCCCTACTGGGGATCAAGCCTGCATCCCAGGTATTTGCTCTGACCGGGAATTGAACCAGCAACCTCTTGGGCAATGAGGCAACACTCAAACACCTGAGTCACACTGGCCAGGGCTCTCTGTCTCTCTGTCTCTTTTTTTAAGATTTAAAAATTGATGAGAGAGAGCGAGAGAGAGAGACAGTGAGAGATGTGAGAGCAAAACATTGATCAGCTGCCTCCTACACCTGCCCCCCCATCCCCATCTGGAATTGAGCCCACAGCCTGGGCATGTGCCCCGACGGGGAATCAAACTGGCAACATTTTGGTACATGGAACAACACCCAACCAGCTGAGCGACACCAGCCAGGGCTGTATCTCTTAATCAGTACATTGATATATATAGTCCTGGGCTGTGCAATCTCCCATCCCTTAGTCAGCTCCATAGGAGGCAGCCCCACTCCCAACCCTCGTTCCAGCCCACCATTGCCTCAGTCAGACATTTGCGAGTGTTTTTCTGGTGTCCACTCTCCTCCCGCTGGCTGCAGGCCAAGATTTCCAGTCTAACTCTTCCTCTAAAGATCTAGAGAACAGTGGTTTCAGGAAGTGATACATGTACCTGCTCTCTCTGAGATGGACCCCCAAAGTCCATCTAGCCAGCTCTCCCTCCTCTGGCCCAGGAATCTTGCTCCTTTTATTTCTCTTGCCCTCATTCACTCTGACCTCTACCAGGCCTGTCTTCATTTTCCTGGTCCCATCCCCACCCCACCCTTGACACATTGAACCATCCCTCAAATTGCCTAATGGTGTTCCTAGCAACAGGCTTTGAGGGTTCAAAGCAGAGAGAAAAAATATGGGCTTGTGGGGTCAGCCAGGTTAAAGGTCTTGTGCTTTGGAATAAAAGTATCCACGTCAGGCTTGCCCCTGTGCTGCTTCTCCCACCCACACAGGTTACTTTGTTTTTTATTCTTAGGGAAAGTCCACAGAATCCCTTTAGGGTCCAGAGGCTCTTTCTCCTTAGAGTCCTGGTTTATGTTCTGGTGAATCTGGGACATGTTTTAAGTTGCGCTGGAAGATATTTAAGTTTGACTAATATGTAAGAATTCTTTAGGTCCATTAAAAGTGACTTAGCTGAAACAGGAGGCTGAATGGTGCACCCGGCTGATGCAGTGACAGGCTTTGCTCTCCATCTCCCTCTAGTGGTCAATCAAGGGAGGTAATGGACCATAACACCCGGGAGGTGTGCTTCAAGCTTGTGGTTTGTGTGTCTTGCTAGACCAGGGGGATCCAGGAAGGGAATTAACTCAGGAGAGGAGGCCTCAGCCACCTGTTCGCTGGGAACCTGAATGTCTCTCTGATCCACAGAATGCTCTGCATACACCGCAGACGGACACAGATACTGGGACGGGACGTTATTTCCTTACCCATTTTCTTTTTTATTATTGTTGATTTTCTATTCAACAGGGGGCCAAAGAGGAAAGAGAGAGGGGTAGTCTACTGGAGTTCAGGAGGGTGGAAGGCACTGATCCTGGCAAGAACAGGAAGAAGCTGGCAGTTATGAGAGAGCAGGTTCAGGAACGTGCCTGTAGGATATTGAGCCCACGTGTAGGATGTGGGATGGCTGGAGCATTTGGGGGAAGTTGCTCTTCGCACAGACATACTTCTCGATCTTCTCTGAGTAAAAGGAGATGGAATAGTGAGGGAGGAAAAAAGGCTGGAAAGGAGGCTTGACTGTCTGGTGGACAGGCAGGAAGAATACTCCCCAAGGTCGTTGAATTTTATATCTCCCATGGGAGGTTGGAAGTTTTGGGGTACAGCCTGCATATTGTGATCTGTACTTCCATAAAT